AAACTCGGCCAGTGGAATTGGCCTTCCCATTGAGTCTGTGGCACACTTACCCAGGGGTAGGGGTTGACCCTTTGATGTTCAGCCTAAGGTAGGATTTGAACATGGGTCTACCGATCATGAGTCTGGAGCGACAACCACTATGCTATCAGTGACCGTTTAAAAAAAAATAATAATAATTTGATAATTCCTCTTGTGAATTGGTCATTTCTCGCGGAGTGTGTAAAAAAACACAGATTGATCCCTGAATTATAATTATGTTACCAATGCATCCTTAAAACAATAAATACACTAACTAATGCAGTAGGCCACGGATGCTTTATGAAGTCTCGTACACTTGTGAAAACAATGCAATATATTGTTCCGTATAAATGATGAAAAGAAAGTCCCTTTTATACGACTTCACTGTCGATAGTTGTATTGATTCTGGTTTTACTTTAACATTTCTCTCTGTGATGTATTGAATACGGGGCTCATGAATACAATTACGATTTCCCTGCTAGCGCTTATAAACTACGAATTGGATATATAGAATAAATGGAAGATCAAATTCGTGATTTTAAAATTATATTACATTTAGTAAACTCGTGCAGTAAATTTCATTTAGTCCTCACAGAACATTGTTCCTTTCATATACACATCGGACATATAATTCTGATATTACAATCTGACGCGTAGCCAGTAATTCTGTTTACATTTACAGAGGTGTATTTATTGGTACGTTACTGGGTTTTACAATTGGTCTGTGGGTTGCTATAGGTAATATTATCTACAGAGATATTATTGACGAAGTATCGCCTATCTACAAGGTAAGATGGCATACATGTATTAATATGCATAGTGACGATGAGTATTGCCTTGACCGTAGTGGAGAAAAAACAGTTTCTGTCATTGTCGTCGAACCGGGCGTTAACTTTTCTTTTGTAGTCAAAAAGTCATCGAATAACATAAACTCTGTGCTTAAAGTTATCAAAGTTGGTATTCATAATGCACCTAATTTTGTTACGAGATCAAAATATGTCTAAAACATGTTTTCAGACCCTACAGAACCAATTTCATTCAAACTTTATATGATGACTATGAATATTGGTTTTAGAAATGTATATTATTTTTTCGAACAATTCTTTTTGTTGTCATTAGGATCGCTGTCATGGTGATGACAAGTACTGATGTCGGCCAAAATTGCACATATAATTACTTGACGCGCGTTTTTTTTTTCAGCTTTTATCTTAGTGACTTCATACACAAATCATGTGTGTTTGAATAAATGTCATTTTTTCTTTGTGGTTATAATAATAAAAAGGGATGTTCATCTGGTGGTTATTAGTACATTGTATGTCAAAACATAATAGACAATGACCAAGCTCGATGTATTTTAGAACTTTCTTTCTTGAACTATATTTTGCATTGTTATACTGAATCAGTCGTCGTTTTCTGTTTCGTTTCAAACAATGGGAATCCTGTGTATACAACGCATGGAACATTTATTTGTATCTCTTCGATTGCCAACCAACCTGTATATGTGTATACCGTATGCCCGTATGCGCACTGATGGTAATGTCATATGTCCGTCCATTATTTATATAACGAACTAACTGCTGTATTTGTTTTCTTTGATGTTCAGCTTTCCTTCATGTGGTACAGTGTATTCAGTGTCGTTATTACTACTGTTGTTGGTATTACCAGCAGTGAAATATTACGCCTCATTTTCCCGAAGGAACGATTGAATGCTATTGATCCAAAGCTACTGGCCACGTGCTTGAGGTAATATTTCCGACTATGTTTATTTATCGTCATGTTATGTACCGGATTCACCAGTTGGTTAAAATTAATGTACCACACTCAAGGAAATGAACGAGTGTTTTGTATGTTACCAAATCACCTATGTATTCATATCGAATACGAGAAATCAGTGTGACAGTATATATGTAATACTAATACCTTATAAGCCACTAGCTGAACCGCCTCACATATCCACATATGTGCTTATCATTTTCAGACCCAGGGGTTGGCAGACTATCCAAAATGACGACGGTGAAAAAGAATTGGAGGCAGTAGAGAGCGAAGACGTTGAAACTACACGTCTGTAACAAAAAGCAAAATAGATATCGACAGGCACATAGTAAATATGTTATTATTCTCTTATACTGCAACCTAAGCAAAGTGTGATGTGTTTACATAAGCATAATTAAATTGTTGACGTAATCATTCGTAAACTACGTTTATCATCGGAAACCCATTACTACTTCTGGGTATTCTGAATTACATTATATATCTGTATGGTTCTTACAATCAAGTTATTTCATATATAGCAGTATATGGATCCACTTATTTAGATGCAATACTATCTTACGTGTCCTACATTCTTTTGCAATGTAATTTTCACACTCATAAATTCGTTCACAACAAAATACAAAAGCCTCAAAATTTGGCTTTTCCTCTTTCATTTTACTGAAAAATATGCGTTTTCTTACAAGCAAACAAATAAAATTCCTCAGTAATGATTCATCTGGATCAGAGATTATCATGCACAATTTACTTGGTGGAGACTGCTTTTCGAGTGAATCGCCCCCACCAGAACAGAATATCTCTCCGGAGGGATTCAGTGTAATGACAACCATAAAATAATTTTCCGGTTGTTCATGGCAATTTTTAAATAATGAAGTGGTATATATTTGTGGGTTAATTTTATGTAGCGTTTGATTTGTGTATAAAATACTGTCCAAGATCTTAAACTGAAATTCTTGAATTTTACTGTCCGTTTTGTCCTATTCAATAGCCCCCCCCCCCCATACCAGTTTAACTCCACCTGTAGATTTCATTCCCTTACAAACGACCTGTCACAAAGCTCTTTTTTCTGCTGTTTTAGTTAAAAAATTCTAATGCAGGAGGCATTCCCATGATTTTGATGTATATCCAATCTAGGTTCATATTTTTATTTTTCAACACTTCTGGGATAACCGATACAAGACCCAACCATCTCAGTTCATGTATCAATGACTATTTTTCTCGTGCTAAATCCTGCCATGGAATCACTCTCCTTTCATTAATTAGATGTGATACTTTTAAAATTCAATTTTAAATTGTTATGTTCTAATTCTCTATTAGGTGCATATGTATCAATATCACTGGGACACCATTAATTTCGACTTCCATAATCAATTATCCCCTTCCTGTCTAACATGTTTTACACCCAGAGCTGAGGATCTACAAACAATGCCCTCTAAATTGCATTGACAAATCTCTCATTAAAGTTCCTCATCCCTCTTGTGCTAAATGACTGACTGATATTTCTAATTTCATACCAAAATTGGCGTACATTAAATTTCACCAAATCTCCTGTACCCATTTTTTTAAGCAAAAAACAAAAAATAACAATAACACTGACGCAAAACTTTGCACCCTCATTTAGACTGACGCACACTAAATATGAAAAATATAGATCAAGTACTGCGTTTCTGGACGGCTCACTCAAGTTTAAACATCGTCCCTGTCTTTCAACTTAAATTAAATAACTAAACAAGTTACCACTATTGTTTTCCAAAAGTCCCACACAATTACTCAGTTTGTAATCCCAGATCTTTCACTGTGACCGCTTTCATCTTTCAATCCTTTCCTCCAACCATGATTGTTTAATACTGGTACCCTCCATGCAATATACGTATTCTTTCTTGGGTTCTCCTGATTGTACTTCTTACGGTACTACAAGCAGTCTCGTCTTTTCTGCTATGTGACACTTTGGCTTACATCGTCCGTAATGAAAATGTCATGGCCATAAAATGTGTTATTCTTGAGCGGTTCCGGTGCCACATACAGAATCGTACGTGAAATATTTATATCCACAAATACGACTGTCATCACTAGAGGGCGCAATTTACTTGTCCTCAATATGGCTCCAAGCCTCTTCAAAACAGGCTCGACAATTGACATCAAGCTATTTTCATCCCAATAGTTCTATTGCGGTGATCAGTTAGATTCCGCTAAGTAATTATTTAATTTGTCGAGCTGTACCGGCGCGGTTTTTGTGTATGTTTCACACAACAATTAGAATTTGTATCAAGCGGGGTCGTGTAGGCGCAATTATCTCTATTTTGAAAACTACTTTTTCCATTTTGGGAATGTTCGATGGTGATGCTCACTATTTAATTTCTAGAATTAGACAAATATTTTTTTATTGATTCTGTCAAATTGTGGATTGTGGCTGAAAATTATTTGTTATATTGTCGACTACGAAGAGCTTGATGCCATCACTCTTTTGAGTAATGAACTTACAGTGTGATCCAGTGAATACAATAACACTGTATCCCAGGGTTCCCAGGGATGGGCATTTATCATGGATTGGATTGAGCTATAATACAATTGTGGACAAACAGAAATCTAGAGTAGTAATGAAAATTCTCGCTATTCACGGTGAGTAAATACCGTTTCATAAGTTTTAGTATATGCCCATATATGAACAACTCGCAGCGAGTACTTATACGGCTCCGTCGAGGCATGGACGGGAATTGGTGCTGTCGACATGTGCACGTGTGATTTGGTTCGGTAACCATGTGCACGACGTCCCAGTTCCTCTCCTAAGTGCGGGGAATGCGGGTTAGTTCGAATGATTCGAAAAAGTTTACCTCGCGTAGAGGGCGCAGTTTAGTTGCCGAAATGACATTTCATTATCGCACTTGTAAAAATTAGACTGGATTGATCCAAAAAGAGCATGTATGTTGCAGTTTGTGTATATGTAGATGGATGACGTAATTTCCCGTCACGATGACGTGTTCTGTCATGCATTGTTGTTGTTGTCATTAATTCGACTTTCAGGTGACGAGAAATAATGTATTGTATAGTATTCTCCGTTGTGTAATAAATGCGAATAAAAAACGCAATTTACAGTGCAATTGAATGTTAAGCAAAACAATATCTTCATTAATTTATTTCTTTAGATTAAAAACATGGATTTTAATAAGACGTTCAACGCCGTACGTACATATGCTTTTCGGCAAACTCCATCAGTTCTTCCACCGTCTGTGGTTTAGTAAGTCCTTATAATTTGTTTAAGAAAAATAGAAAACATATCTTACACGAAATACAATTTAAAATATAAATCTATCCGCCGCTCAGTAATACATGACGCTCACATGGCCACGTGACACCGAGACCGAAATGGCAGTTAGCGAAATCTATGGGGCGAAGAGTGACGTACAGTGAGAAAACTCAAAATACGTACACACACTTCTTGTAAATAAACACAACTCAATTTCTTTGAGAAATGATGAGTTACTTACTACACGTGGCAAGTTGCACATTCTGTTCGTCACGTTGTTACTCGGAAATTAACAATCAATAAATAAATAATATATAAACCTCGTCTTTGTGTGTGTATTCTTGCTTAGTGCTCTACCTTTATGAAGCTATCCTGCTTACGCAGATGGTGAATAATGTATATCGCCACCAACGTTTGTTTTCTATGCGTCTCTATCGACTGAGCTTCGCCATTTGATGCTTCATAGACATTGATTATTTTGACACAAAAAAGAAATGTACAAGGGAACAAACACAAACGACGCCTACACTTCGTGTGGCGGTAACAACACACAGTGGCTTATACTTTAGTAACATAATATAGCTGTCGATGGCGGCGCAATTCATGCCTCGTTGTCAGTACACACGACAACCGCAGCGTGTCATCATATCTGCGTTTCTTGACCTACGCAGTTTCGAAGTCCACCTGCGCATGAACAATTTGTACAAGTCCTTGGCTGTGACGTCAGCACGCCGTTATGTCCAATCCCGTTTGTGTAGCCATTCGGAACGTCGTCTAGCGAAGTTATTCCCGGGGGTCTTCCATTGGCTATTCCACAAGTCTTTACGTACCCCCGTGCACACATTGCATTAACACGTCCATAATTATTGTTCGTGATTCCGTTTGGCAGCGCGCACATTGTGCCATTCATTTGTAACGTTCCATTAGGCGTGTAGTTTGATAAGCCATTACCGCTACCGTTCACGGTGCTAGTACTACTAAGTAGCTGAAATGAAAAAAAGTAATAATGTTTTTTAGAGACATTATGGAGGTCATTTTCAATGATGCTCAAAGTTACATACATACCAGAATAAAAGCGTTGAACATAAAAGTAGTATTAATTAACTGGCAAATATGCGTGTACCAGTTACTGAATGCGCATGCGTATTCACATGTACGCAGTGCAGTCACCTGCGCATGCGTCAGATGGCCATAGCGTGTCTTTGTTTACAAACAAGCGTCTATCCATGAGCCTTTGCGTTTTTAGCGTGTGTTGTTATCCGCTTGGGACTCAATTCTTGCGCGTGCGCAGGTGACGACCCTCCCGCTTTAACTGGCTCGTACTAGGCTGCGAGATATGATTGTGTGGAAGACTCAAAATCTCGGAAAAGGGAACATACGAATTAAACCATTAATTTTAAACATTGAAGATTTATATTAACTGTAGTCAACACAATTCAATAACAACATCTATGTATTGCCCGTTGGGCGGGTTTTCCGTGTCCCAGTATATAAACTGAACTGATATGCGTATATAAGACAGCCATTTTTAAACAAAGATTCATCATGCGGCAAATAATCAGTTGAACCATTTCTAAAATGACGTCATTTTGGAAATAGTCCGCTGAAAGATATAGATATAGCTCATGTTGTGCGTAAGATATGACCCCATGTGACCACGTAATGACCAATCATGACACAGAATCTGGATATGGATTGTTATTATTATTATCCATAATGCATTTCAGCCCGAGTAATTACAAAATACATGACAATATCACCATGGTTTACCTGAGGTTCGATTGGATCGTCCGGAAGATGTCTAATAAATATACTGTACGTATAGAGAGACAACAATAATCCACTAACTACTGTACTGATACATAAACTACAAAGTACCAGATTTGTCAACAATAAACTGTATACTGGACCTACACCGGAAAGACAAAAAAAATCATAAATGATAAATAGTATTGTTGATAATGGTTTAGTGACGTTTAAGGCTAAGGCCATTATCGACGCGATAATCTCACGTTCGAGAGCTAATAGTGCTCTGGGGTAAAAGCGCCGCCCTATCAAAGACTTGTTTCATAAAATTGTTCAAAAGACCGTCGCGATGGACTATAACACGTGATATAGTGGAACACGCGATATACTATTTATGCCACGCGTTGGTGCGCATCGTCGCTTACTTTTGATCTTTGGAATAAATATATAAAGGCAGGCTCCAAATGTGACGTGTTCACTGAATCGTTCGAAAGTTATCATGACTGTTTGAGACGAGTGGACTCGAGTTCACTCAAGATTTGAAACTGTGCCAATTTGTGATGATACTAAATATACGCACCCGCGTTACACCTCGCATGTTTATTGCCATTCATATTTCAGGAATAGCTAATTCTGCAGGCGAGTTTACAGGGAATAGTACGGTTGAAATAGGATATCTGCATCCAAGAACTGATCTCACAAATCACATGTGTTCCACACTGGTCCGGGTGATATAATATTCATATGATAGATTTTGAGACAACTAGAAACATTTTCAAAACATGCAACGAAACAGAATCCTAATAGTTATAGTTATACAAAAGAGTGGCCCTCGAACGAGTATTTTGTTAGTATACATAATACCTACGTAAATTTTAAACCCTGTGTTGCCACTTTTCAATTGGACATTGCATTTCTACATTTGGCGTTGCGTATGGCGATAAAACCATAAACCTGGAGTTTTTGGTGTAAATAGCAGGTATGATAACTTGAACCGGTGTAAACGTATATACTATTAGACCGCTAGGCGACAGTCATCCATTGGCGCAATCTTATAGCGATGATGAAGGTGAAAAGCGATTGATTCCCAAATAATGACATACCCGTTATGGTTTGGCAGGATTCAAGCCTGGGAAATATTGCACTACCACACGTACACACAAGTGTGTCTTCGTTATGCGTACAGCCGAACTGCCGAACGCCCATCCACATTGGATAGATGAAGATACTCGCACACGAACAAACAGACACCGACACAACGGTTGAACCAAGAAATACACCAAGCTGCAAAACAAATAAGCGACATAGTAAGTATTTGTAGGTAATGATGACGAAATCATCTTTAAAAAAATGTGATGTGGATTGTTCGAGAAACGTATATCTAAATTAGTATCGCTGATACGCAGTAAGTTATCTATTTATCAATGTCACTCCGACCTCTACAGTCACATAAAAGATTAAAAGTGCATAGCAGCTTTGTCAGGTCCAAGTTTGAAGGCTGAGTATTCCTTAGTATGTACCCACTGTCATTTTTCTCATAAGCTATATTGGCCATACATGCTTATGCAAATCTCCAGTTGATCGGCTAAAGCACAATATTGTGTCATTTTTGGCAAAAATCCAAGATGGCGGCCAAACCATGTGACTGATCGCAATTATTATATTTTTCTCGTAAGAAGCTATGGCTATGTGTGCTACATGCCAAATACTCAGTTGCTTGATTAAAACACTTATGAGAAACAAATGCTCAATCTGTTTGCACTTTCTAGCGAAAATCCAAGTTGGCGGCAAAATCACGTGACTGGTCCGAATTATTTGTTTCCTGTCTGAAGAAGTTCAGTATGAAAATACAACATCGCAAATTTCAAAATAGTCGGATAAATATAGCATCTGTAAAAAAAAACTACTTCTTGTTCAGTAGAAATCAAAAATTGCAGCCAGACCATACGAACAATCACTCTGAATTTAAACTTTTAAATTTCAGATCAATGTATTCAGTGGTTCTGCAGAAGAAGATTTTGAAGTGTTTTTCTTCATTTGAAAAAAAAAAACATGGCGGAAAAGCTTGAACAAAAAGAATAGGGTTCAAACATTTGTGAGTGGCCCTTTCGAAACACCGTGACGTTTTGTAAAGAACGGGACACGGCTGAGTAAAAAATTGGGAGGACGGGTTAGGATGAGCAAGGCGCGGATAACAGGTTACTACCTAATTTTAACATCGTGTGACATGCGTATAATTTGTTCATTTACCAAGCTTATAAAAAGGAAAGTAAACTGAGCAAGTGGCGATTAAAAAGTCGTTTATTAACTGCCATGTAACGGAATCTTCGTAATTACTTTTGGGTGAACAGCGTGTAGGAATTCCAGTAATCTAACGGTTCTTTTAGATAACCAATATGGCGGACCCGTGACTAATCAGGCACAAGTCGCTCTAACAAGCGGCATGCACAGATGTCCACAACAGACTAATTGAATCGGAAAGGTTCATTGCTGCTTTGAAGAAAGCACATTTTTTCACTTCTTCCGTTCAAAGGTTGAAAAGTCGCGAAAAGTATGGTTGTCTCACTTTCAGCAGACTACAGTAGCTTGTTTTCCCAATTCCAGGGATGTTGGACACAGTCGTTTTATAACATAAGCCAATAAGTGGCTGGCATTCTTGCTAGCCGGCCGAATGAAAACTACCAGACATTTTCCCCGATACTTGAGATGGTAAACTGTAGGAACTTACTCCAAATGTAGCGTGAATCAGGGTTACGAGAACCGTGCGTGAATGGAAAACGAGCGTGCTGGTTTGGGTTAGGGTGGGTTGCTGATTGACGGAACAGCGTGCAGCATTCTGGACAGTTCAAGCGATCCTGTACTAATTAAGCCATTAGGAATGTAAATAAAACAATATCAATGGACAATCCCATTAATATAGTGTGAGCCCAATTACCATGTGTTTTCTTTCCCATGATAGTTGTTTGTAAATGTCCAAGTACATGAACGGAGGCGGGACGAAATACCATCCTTAGTCGAATATGCGTACAATTAAACAAAATATTTTAAGATCCAGATATTTCCTCCCTGATCTAACCATGTCATGTCATGTCATGTCATGTGGACTTGGACCTGTGATTTCATATCTGATCATATTCCGGGATTGCGATTGAGTATGGTATTATTTTATTTTACAACATAGCACAAGTGAGTTGAAAAGAAAAAAAAAGTTTGGAATGACATGACTTTTGTGCACGTGAATATGAATATAACTGATTTTATGTTGAGAAGAGCGCAAAGAAAGACGTGAAGATTACATTTATTCAGGCAAATTATACAATATGTATGGTTGATTTGTCGATAGTTGTGTTGATTTGTCGATTACCTAACCTTGAACTCACCCTTATATTGCGAACCATAACTTTTGTTTTCGTCTGTGTCGACAACATCGCAAATCGACCGCAGATCATCACCTATGAAAAATAAGAAACAACTATGATACAAAAACATGTATTTCAACTAATATAAGGACCGGACGTTGCATCGTCCTCACTGCATACATAAATTTACTTCTCCTACGTGAGAACTCTGCACATATTTCACAGCTGTTACTCTAATCGTTTGACGAGCTACGTCATATTTTCTACGATATTGACCAGGATTTACGCGGGAGATGTGTAGTATTTCAACATTGTCAGTTTTATCGTTCTGTGTTTATCATTACTGTAAAGTAGTACTACTTGAAGTAATCGTTTTAAAAACAAACACGCGTGTTTAAGTTACAGTCCCTCTCCCTGTCAATCAAGCGTGTACTAAGCCATCAAGATCAAACTACGATAAGTCACGGACCCGGACACACTGATTACACACAACATAAAGTCAACATTCGTCTCTTTGATTATTTTTTTTTATAAAAACGCCGATAGAAATGAACAAACAATTTCATATCTGAACAATTAACAAATTATAAATAACGTGATTTATCAACAATACTTTTAACGATGCATGTGCCGTGAAAGGTAGAATGCTACTCGTGCGATCTTGACATGAGTGTTGTTTTTTTTTGCGCGCGCATAGCAGTGGCAATATCCTTTGTGTTCAACTATGTCTAGAATTAATAATTTCAGTTCTGCCCTAGCACAATGTTTTAAAAAATAAAACATGTTATTTTCACTTTAAGTTGTTTATAAATTTGTAGCGACTACGACATTTTAAAGCCATGTACATTTCATCATTGACAACTTCAGAGTACCGAGTTTGGCGTTAATATTTATGCGCGTGTCGCCTACTGGTGTTTACATCGGAAAAGAGACTTTTACCATATTTAAAATCGACGCTGGAGAACACTGTCACTGCTAAGGTAAACATGAGTTGTTGTTCTTCCAATGTTAGAGTGGGAGTGTTTTTTATCAATCCATGGCGCTTCAGAAAACAAAATACACATTTTTTTCAACTTTTGATCTTTGCTCGATCTTTCTGACAGCTGGGGTTCATTATATGTTCATTACGGCGCTTAAACACACATCTCCGAGTTGGCTTGGTATTCTAAATAGAGGAACTATACCCCCTCTCGGTTTCGTAACTCTAACATTTGAATGTATTTAAAAAAAACGATATCACTGGAGTGAGGCTCATCCTCGGCCATATAGATGTACTGGATTGATATCAGGGTATCGGGGAGCAAATAAACTGTTGAACTATAGTGAACTCCGACTTAGGCACAGTATGCAACTAGAAATGCCTTCGAGTAGGACATGTTTTTGTATGTTTACGACACGAAATCAAATCTTACCCGGTTTAGATAACAAACTCAGACGCAAGGTTCTGCCCCCAGCCGTGCTGTCAAATATATTATTGTTTTATTTTATTTATTTTTTTATTTAAAACAATGCAAATATTCGTCATCATATCGTATCGGACGGAAAAGATATCACCAGTTCTCTCACTGTGTGCGGAAAAGTCGTTATAAATTAATGCATTACCACACCACATCCTTCACGACGTCCCGATAGCCCACTCGACAACAACCCTTTTTCCGACGATAAATAACACTGGAAACGATTAGATCAAGAGACAAACACCACAAGACACGACATTTGCAAAGGAACAGTCAAGAAGTAACGACTTGTATTGGTGTTAAATTACAGGAAGAAACTAACTTTAGCAGAGTGGAGATTCCAGTTATTATTAAACTTAACAACCTTGAATCATTTCTGACTGATGGCTTTTAAGGAAATTGTACTAAAAGCACCATTTTCACTTGACACCCTCGAGTCTACATGGTGGGATAATTAGCCTTACCACAGTCCCATCATTTCCATTATACTCGTTAGTTTTAGTATTTTGTCTCATTTCCCTGGCATAAAGATAACGCACTGGTATTGTGTCGTGGAATAGCTGTGCTCTTGATCAATGCGCGTATGCCTTGTTTTAAAAGTACGCCACGATTACTGCCAGAGAGTCGCGACGTAGTGGTGTTTCTTTCAGTTACTTCACAGCGCTCACCGAGACCTTAATGTATCTCATTAGGTCTATACTACGAGGAAGACGCTGAGACGATGACAATTGCAAAATAGCATGGAATTCGACAAGTGATTACCCCTATGGTTTCTATTTTGGAACTTTGCCGTGCATGTTATCAATGTCAAAACCATGCTAATGATCGGCGGGATTTCTACTACATTGACATATCTTGGTATTGTCATTGTGAACGTCCCGCGGCGCGTGTATACTTGTCTGCCATCACCTCGGTGTTTACCCCGCAAGTTGATTGACACCACGATAGCTCCACTCCCAACAGGCAGGCATTTAACCATAAGGGGCCGTCTCCAAATATTGTCCACT